TTTTTAGATGTATCTAGTCTAACCATCAATGAGTAAACAACACCAGATTAGGTAATGATGGCCATGTTGATCTTTTGGAGAGGGTAAACCATCCGTCCTTTTTCTGAGGAATCATGGAGGAAAAACTTTCCATAGTCCACATCTTGTGGAAACCTTGTTACTTTTTATATGGTTCCTGAGAGAAAAGGGTCCACTGGCCAGAGAAGTGATGTTATGGAGGTGGAGTTTTCAAAGGAGAGAGAGGCCTAGGGAGAAAAACCTTCAGGGAAAAGGAAAAAACCTATCTTCAGCAGGAAAAAAAGGAGAAAAGGGAAGGGATGGGTAAAAGTAAAAGAAAAAAGTATATAGAAGAGAGAGGAGAAGATAAGAAAAGAGAAATAAGGAGGTATAGGAAAGGGACATAAAGAGAAGAAAAAAGGAAAGACGAAAAAAAAGTAAACAACTCAAAAATTTCCTAAAAAGGAAATTTTCAAACGTAGAAAGAGGGAGTAGGAAAGAGTTTTTTTTCAAGACTTTATTAATTATACATAATAAATGTAATACATTATATACAAAATCAATAAAGTATGAAATATATAATAATACATATTAACCTGCTATCATGAGCAGATATATCATTGGAAAAAACTTAGAAAGAAAAATCTGAGAAACTATCTGTTACAAAAAAAATAAAAAATAAAAAAAACATTTTGGGCAATATCACCAATTGTAAAAAAGAGTAATAGAAGTTTGATTTAAGAAAAAAAATATTGATAGTGTATAGGATGGACTATATGCTACTTAATTATAAATAAGAGATATAATTAATGATTTATAAAAAGTAGAAAGTTATAGTGGTGATGTGTTTAGAGTTTAGGAGCATATTATCTTTGAACCAACAATCACTTTCACAAGGCACAAATCAAATGTGTCTACTTAGGTTATTACTTTTTTTTTGATAGCTGAGTACAACTCCAGCAGCAGTAAAAGAGTATTGACTTAAGCTGCCAGATTACAGAACGCAACTTCCTGATATCTCACTTCTACTTGCAATAAAAATATTATACTTTTACTCATATTGGTTAGACTTTGGCTGCCTTTTTTTTTTAACAGTAGCATTGCTGCTCGTGGGTCGCAACTCTATTGTTGAGATAATAAAAAGTCATATAATTGGTAAAAGAGTGTTGTAATTGAGATATAAGTGGATCAGGTAACTGAAGCCTGCTCCAATTGCTTGTTTTATTGTTTGGATGTATGTAAAATAAAGATTACTGGAACCCGCACAGGGCACAGATCACATGCTTTTTCAATCCAATAAGTTATCAGATCATTTTTGTTGTCAATATTGTTATATTGTTAAGTGTGAGAATTTTTTGTTAGAAGAAAACTGGTTGTAAACAAGTTTGAACAGATTTGGTATTGTTATTAAGGATAGAGAAATTTTATTGATTGTTTGTAGAGTGTAGATCTTTGAATGGGGTGAAACTAATTTTGGTTTTTGAGTAGATTTGAAAAGAGTATAGAAAAGTATAGGAATATGATGTAATATTGATGTTTAGATAAAGAAAAAAAAAATAATAAAATTTTGTAAAGATTATATTAAGACAAATATTAGATCCAGTAATTATGTTTGAATATGTTGTTAAGATTGAATTTGTATTGTAGAGAGAGAAAGGTGAGAGAAAAAGTAATTATCATGGTCATAAAGGAGAAGGTATCTAAAGACAAAAAATTATGAAGGAAGGCTGTCACAGACCTTTCCCCATGCAACCAAGAGCTAAGGAAAACTTCCAACTTGCTTAGGTCTTGACCAGAAATCCCATTCCAATATAATAGTATTTCTTAAAGTCTTTATGTCCTTTGGATTTAAAGCTTATTGCCTTAGGGAATAAAAAAAGGGAGACGCTTCTTGAAAAAAGATTTTCTAAAAAGGAAATTTTCAAAAAATCAGTGGTAAACGGATAAGAGTTTTTTTAAAAAAAAATAATAGTTTCTTATAACTTCTTGGTTTGTAATTTCATTATGGAATTCAGTACTTAATACAAATATAGAAAATCATTGACATTTCCATCTGATGGTAGGTTTTCAAAAACTTTAACTACATTGATAATTAACTTTTCAATAAGACTTTTCAATACATGGAATTCCTTCTTATCTTTTTTATCAAATACAGTAGAAACTGTATTATTGTAAGATATCTTGTATGATTTGAATCCTTCATCTATATTAAGCCTTGTAGATGTTTCAGAAATATTGTTATGTTTAAGTGAAGAGGTAGTTTTTTCAATAATACTATCTTTAACAGATGCAATTGATGTAATAGTCTGTTCTTGATCACCGGTTAGATTTTCCAGCTGAGATTTTTTCTTATTCAAAGTATTATATTCCTGTTTTTGCTCCTTATTTACAGATGTTGCTTCTATAATAGCTCTAATATTACTTTTATCCATACTAGTTTGATTTGTCTGGATTTGCTTACCAATTAATCCCAAAACTATTATAAATTTGTAATCAATATTATTATTTACATTAGCATTAGCTAGCTTTTGGCTAAGTTTTTCTTTGACCCATATAGAAATGGTCAATTTAGATGCCACTAGCTTGCTATTATATACCTTTGGATCATTATTATTTTCATTTGTTGAGTTGTCTTTCTTGATGAACTTTGCAATATCAGGTGTATAAGAGGTTATTTTATTAGTATCCTGAGACAATATAACTATTACTAGTATGTCATTTCTGGTGTCACTCCTGGTGGGTGAAAGGTTGACATTTGCTTTTATAATTTTAACATTTTTATAACAACTGGAAATAGGGCATCTCGTCTCTCCTGATACTAAATTAAGAAGGTCCTTCTTAATACAAGCTCTATGAAATATGTGATTACAACTTAGAATAGTAATTGATTAAGAAGGGTTAGATAAAATTGCATTCTTGCATTTGGAATATGATTGTAGTTCTAGAACTTAAATATCACTGACAAGAAGGTCTGATTCTTTTAAAATATTCAATACAAGGACTCTGCTGTTAGAAGCATCCATACTGCAAGACTATATCAGATATAGCTTGTTTTTATACATTAGGAATCTTTGGCAAAGATGAAATATTATCAGATAGGCAGAGTCTTGTGCAAAGCATTACGATACATAAAAAATGTTGATTATTAATTAGAATTGGCATTACATTCAAAATGATACAAAGAAAGATAAATTTGTTTATTCTTATAAGATTCATGATCAATGGAAAAAATATTTAATATTAATATAACAAGGCTAAAAATAGTCAATTAACATGTATCTGAAAACTAGATTTATAAAAAATTATCATATAAAAGTATTATATAAAAATTAATTATCAGAAAAAAACCATTTTGAATTAGTCTGATTGCTTTATTAATACAATAAAAAATACATGTGAAACAGGAAAACCATCTATCAGTTATTATTTGTTAATTTTTTGAATATGATGTTTTTTAATTTCATGTTTATTATACATTGTGATCCTATTTCACAACAATTTCACAACTACTTCAATTACTTTTTTAACACCCTTCTTGATTGAATCAATATCCTCTTTTAATACCATTTTGAATAAATTTATCTGATATTCGCTTTTGCTGGTGCAATATAATCCTTCTGTGCAGAGTCTAATAAAATATCATTTTGTAGCTAGAAAAAGATAATTAGAAAATATAAAATGAAATTTGTATTAGAGACATTAACTCATTTATACTTGTAAAAACTACTCTGTAAAGATAATCATTGTTATCATGAAATGCCTAATCTGTGGTTTGTTTTCTTTTATTCATATGGCTTGCACTTTCTAGTTGTTTTATATTTTGGAGATATCCAATTTCAACATTATATGATTTTCCCTCAGCTATACATATAAGATCTTTATATCCTTTAATTGAATAATCGACACATCCAAAGACATCTTCTCTGGATATATATCTTAATACGCAATATATATTTTTTCATTGTTGGTAAGTTTTTGAGTAATTGCTATTAATACATTTAAGATAGACACTATTACAGTAAAATGCAATGAGTCTGTCGCTTCTGTTCTGTCTACACCATACTACATTGGAGAATGGTTTCTCCTCAAAAGAGATGTATATATTTGGCTCAAGTTTAACAATGACGCAGGTCGATTCATCGATCGTACATTATAACTGCCAACCTCCTGCATGGTCACTCCTTTGTTTAGTGACACTTTTAAGATAGATAGCCTTTTTAGTGCGCAGTGCCTATCCTCCTTTATTGCCATATTTTTATATCGTCATCTTATTTTTATACTTTTTATATCTGATATAATTTAGCCAGCTTTGGACTTATTATCCAACTTTATACTTGTTGTCTATATTGTACTTGATAATTACTC